CGTCCATCTCTGGCGCTAGCAGGTAATCCACATATATCGATCCCCCAATAGAAGTTTTCACAGAAGCACACCCTTTTACTTAAACAATGTAAGCACATCTATCCGGCCTCTCAAGAGCAGATATTCTTGTTTTTCGCGTTTGTTGAGTTATAAGCATATAATCCAATATACAGCGATATGCATACATATATCGACACAATCGACTCCGAATCTGTGAATATGTAACAGATAAATAAATGAATAAAAAAACTTCAATCTTTGTGACAGAGAAATAAACGTATTGATAATCAATAGGAATTAATTAAACGAAAAGTGGAAAAAGTTCAAAGGACAAACACAATTAACACTGAACTGTGGACACGGAAACTGCGTCTTCTCATCTTGAAACAGAAAAAAAAAAATTAGATGAACAGTATTAAAATAATAATAATAATAAAAAAAAGTTCTCGGACGTTCTTTATTATGAGCGTAATACAAAGATTTATGCAAAGAGATTTCGAAAGCCTCAAAACAACAATGACCCGGTCACCGTTTACTCTGCCAAAGAGAGGAGTCAAATTTGAATGAAATAAAACTAACAGAATTTTCATTTTTTTTATTTATTTATGATGCACAGCTTTGAATATCCAAAATCTTGATGCAGAACAGTAAATTTCGGGTAGACGGTTGGAAATTAGTTTTTAAATATATTGCACTCAGTACTCGTGATTGGCAAAAGTGTTCCGTATTCTTAATCCGATTAAAATCATTGTTTTCGAATGTGAATTTACGCCTCCTCCGTTCACAAAAAATAAAATAAAGAAATGAAAAATAAAATAAAATTGTGGGGGTCCTGAAAACAAGCACTAATGAAAGAAATTACGAAAGAAAAACATACTAGTAGGTTCGCGGAAGTTTTAGAGGAAAAAGTTCAGGATTCACGGATAAATCTATCTATCTCTCTCTCTATATATATATATTTACAATTTTATAAAAGATAAAAGTTTACTAGATCAGAGAAATGAATTAACTATTTTTTGCCGTCATTGTCAAAAATTTTCCTTAAAAATTATTTAAAAATAAAATTTAAAAAAAAAAGTGACCTGGTAATATACTTACTTATACTTGATATGAGAAAATAATTTTATATACTGCAAGTAATTCCAGTACTTGTTTTAAAAGAAATATAGTCTATTAAAAATTGAAAGTGAAAATATTTGAAAATTGTAGTTAAATAAAACGTATTCTAACCTAAACATCCCCCAAAATCTTTAAGTATACAAATAGAAAAAATGCTGTAAGAATTTTTTGCCGTTAACAATAAAATTTAAGAAAAACCCAGACGACATGCATTTAACGGATGCCAGAATTTGTTGAAAATACAGACTGATTCAGAAATACATCCCTACCCTACCTAAACGTAACCCCTTTTTCAAACGTAACTAATAACTGATACAACAAAAGTTAATGAAAATGAACACGCTACCACCCTCTTGTTTGGATGAGTGGATTTCTCTGGAAACAGTGAATTATGAATTTTTCGTTGCCTTTAAAACTCAGTAAATTTGAAAAATAAGTTACTTCAAAACTCGCTTGAGGATGAAATGGAACTTATGTTTTAATTTAATTACAAAAATTAAATTTGGAGCTTTGGTTATTACTGTGTAGCGAAAAAACATTTGAAATCAGTTAATTTATAATATTAATGCTCTTTTATTGAGCACTATTTTGTAAAAATAAAAATATCAGTAAGAACACCGGATTATATATCTTACTGTTGTTTATATATATATATATATATATATATATATATATATATATATATATATATATATATATGAACATTGAAGTCAATATCGAGAGGCGACAGACTGTTTGGCGCTTAGACGGAATCGTCAGGATGGATTTATATTTATATATGCGATGGACTCTCCTGTCGATTTCAACGTATGGGAATCCGATAACATCGTTCAGTTTTTATGTTCGTATGTTACACTTCAGTAACTCTAGTGACCTGCATACAAGTTCACATATTGTGCAACACCGACGATCTCGGGGCATAGCCACTGGAGTATTTGTTGACGCTTTTCGCCGTTGTCTTTCGTCTCTAAGCCGGTGAATAAGACTGATTTTCAAAATTTTGATACTGCTCTAGCGCAAATATCTCAGTTAAAATTCATACATGCATATATATATACATACATATATATATATATATATATATATATATATATATATATATATATATATATATGAAAATATATAGAAAATAGGAAAGAACCTGTTAGGTATAAGACCTCTTATGTAGCGTGTTGGAATCATATTTTTAAATAAATAATATATATATATATATATATTTCTAAAGAAATATGGATATATATCTATATTCTAGTAGGTTGATCAGTAGCGACCTTATCGTTTGCAGGCGGTCATAATTCACGTTCTCTCTTACATTTACTCCTTTCTCTCTCTCTCTCTACACACACACACACACACACACACATATATATATATATATATACATGAAAATCATACCACGGGTTAACCCAGTCTTTGTGAGTGGAACTGAGTAGACGGAACCCTTGTGGGCCGTCGATAGCTGTGCTAGCACGAAGTCACAAGTCATCATGGCCGAGGGTTTGAGCGTGCTGGCCTTGTTGATCACGATATATTATAGTAGGTTGATCAGTAGTGACCTTATCGTTTGCAGGCAGACATAATTCTTGTTCTCTCTTACATTTACCCCTTTCTCTCTCTCCCCATATACACATATATATATATATATATATATATATATATATATATATATATATATATCGAAAGCGAAAGCGTGTGTGTCTGTGTGTGTGCGTGTGTCTGTCTGTGTGTGTGTGTCTGTCTGTGTGTGTATCCATGGTATATATAGTTATGTGCGTGTATATGCGTGTATGGATGTGTCCACGATGATTAACAAATCTGTTGGTTATTTGAGCGACGCTTGTGTACCATATGGACAATGCCCACATGATGTTTCGTGAGTAGCATGCATTGTGTGTCTGTAAATACATGCTCAAGGGTTTTACTGCGACAGTGATATCGATCCTCATGATGTACGTTCAGTAATGCATTTTTGTAACAAACCAGGCTTAATTTAATACACAATTTAATACTTATTTGTATGAATCATCCACAAAATTCGTAATGCAGTATGAAATCGGCAAATAAACTATTTTACCTTAATTATATATATATATATATATATATATATATATATAACAGTACTAATTAAATAAAAAATAGTGTGAAATCAAGTTAAATTTTAAGTCGACAAAACAAGAAGGCTCTCCGAAATAATCCGTCCGCCATGTTTTTAATATAAAAAAGCAATTTTTTTTATCTCTGTTTGTCTCGAACTTTTACTTTAACGCAAACAGACGTGCGCCCAGAGAGAGACGTTAAATATCAAAAATTGCAGAAGAATGTAGAAATAAATAATCTATATACGCGTCTAAAGGCACGAAGACTCTTTTATCGGATTATAGGTTTCCGTGTGGCCAATATATCTTCTGATTAACGCGGATCGATACGCTATATCCGAGCGCTGGCCCGAAGTCAATAGCGATGAGTGTTCAAAACAAAACGGACATCCAGAGACAGACAGACAGAAAGAAAGAAAGAAAGAAAGAAAGAAAGAAAGAAAGAAAGAAAGTAATGTAAAAAGAAATAGTGGACCAAAATTCGTGAGATTTTGCGAGAACTGGAGGATGAACGGACTGCAATATGAACGCCTGAGGTTTTTCCCTTCTGTCGCACACTAAATTCAGCCAAACTTTCTATGTAGACTCGGAAATTGCTACCCATCATTATATATGGCTAACATTTCCCCATCCAAATCGATATGCACTTGGGTCACTCAATGTTACGTTAGTGAACAATCTTACGACCATATCTATCTATCTATCTATCTATCTATCTATCTATCTATCTATCTGAGACTTCGTTGGATAATTTTAATAATAATAATAATAATATATATATATATATATATATATATATATATATATATATATATATATATATATATATTATAAATTAAATTAATTGATTTAAAATATGTTTTTTTCACTTACACAGTTCTAACTATGTTTCAAAAATGGAAGCTAAAAGCCACGAATTTAATTTTGTAATTAAATTAAAAGACATTAGTTCCATTTCATCCTCAAGCGAATTTTGGAGTAACTTTTAAAATTACTGGCTTTTAAAGACACAGCTAAAATCACGTTTCCATGGTTACAGATAAACACGCGCATATATTCTTAAATGTCTATAATTGGTAACAGAAGCCATTGGTTTATACCAACGGGTTTCCATGCTTCATACTTCTCCAATTCACTCCCGTGTGGTCATGTGTGACGTCATGAGATGCGGTGCGATTTTCGCGTCTAGCGTCTTATATGCACGTGTTTATCGTTGGTTAGAAATCATCTATGTAAACAATGACAGACTACCATCACTGTCTGGTCCGTATATTGCTTAATATGTTGTAATTGAAATGTTTGATAATGGCTTATGTAAGCCGAAAGCTTAGATTGTATTAAAAAAAAATATGGATCAATATTGTGAATTTCTTTCTCCGTTCAACGGTAATGTTATTAAACTTATCAGACGTTACGAAAAATTTTACATAAAATAAATAGACAACACTTGTCTATATTATTTAATGAAACGTGCATGAATGAAAAGATGCTGCCTAAAACACACACAATATATATATATATATATATATATATATATATATATATATATATATATATATATATATATATATACTTCAATTTACTATTAAGATATTATATTTTCTATTAATATATATGTTTCTCCATCACCCTAGATGTAGTTTTGAAGAACTGCATTTGTGGCCTTGGGTAGCAACAAGTTAAGAAGTCTGAATTAATAACTGTACCTTTCTGGGAAGGATGCAAGCTGGAACGATGCAAGGCTTCATCACCATGACTTTGATTATATTTCGGATAGGAAAATAAAGTTAGCAGATATGGTCTACGAAACATCACAACGAGAAAAGATGGGCATCTCGTCTTCAGTCATTTTCTCACCGCTGTGGCTTTTTCAAGTTTTAAAGAGGCCCTATTAACGGAAGGGCCGGAGTATCTACAGATATTTACACTATAGAAAATACGTCGTCCATCATTAAAAGAAATGATAATGTAATAATATATTAATATAAAACAAATGTCATGCAAAGAAAATGTCGGTGAAGCAATAAAGCCTAAAACAGCTAATGAAGAAGAATCTGCAATGTTATCGGTCCTAACCTGGCATCTCGGTGTCAGTCACTTTCCCTCCGCCGTAACGTAGCTTTCGCGTGCCTTTTCTATAAATACTTTGACCGTAATTGATATGATGAACCTTCCTCTATGGTAGTTATTTATTTTTCCCAACCTCCACACAAATTGGACATATGGGAACTAGTTAAGACTTCATAGAGTCTTTGAGGTATTATGATGCTAAGTAAGAATGCGTTGTTTTGGTGCAATGGATACTGTGGTATGTTTGGATCAGTAATCGTGGCGAGCTAAGTTTAAGATAAGACAAATTGAAGACCACCTTTCTCCTATTCACCATCCTTTTTGGCCTTGTGCACGCGTTTTTGTATTTTTGAAAATAAATATCGCCTTCCTATATGGTAAGTAGACTTTACTAATTTAAGCGCAGTACTAGATTGGCGGCAGGGTCTCATCAATTTTCAGTTGAAATGGCAAGATGTAACCCTAAGTTTCATGCTAATCTATCTATCTATCTATCTATCTATCTATCTATCTATCTATCTATCTATCTATCTATCTATTTTCACTTCCTGCTTATCTATATATCTGTCCATCTAGGAATGTCTGTTCGCTATCTATCTATCTATCTATCTATCTATCTATCTATCTATCTATCTATCTATCTATCTATCTATCTATCTATGCCCGCTTTCTGTCTGTCTGTCTATCTATCTATCTCTTTAACTATTTGTTCACTTTCTGTCTATCTATGTATGTTCACTTTCTGTCTGTCTATCTATCTATCTATCTATCTATCTATCTATCTATCTATCTATGTTAACTTTCTGTATATATCTGCCTGTTCACTTTCCATCTATCTATCTATCTATCTATCTATCTATCTATCTATCTATGTTAACTTTCTGTCGGTCTGCCTGTCTGTCTATCTATCTATCTATCTATCTATCTATGTTAACTTTCTGTATATCTCTGCCTGTTCACTTTCTATCTATCTATCTATCTATCTATGTTAACTTTCTGTATATCTCTGCCTGTTCACTTTCTATCTATCTATCTATCTATCTATCTATCTATCTATCTATCTATCTATCTATCTATCTATCCGTTCTCTTTCTGTCTGTCTGTCTGTCTGTCTGTCTATCGCTCTATACTAGTGTAAATCTGGGACTCCTCAGTTATATACGCATAACTAAATATTTATGCTAAGTATTAGTATTGACTGGGACAATAAGAAAGGGATAGGAAAAGGGATAAAATGGGTGAATAGCGATGTCTTTCGCTCGATAGCTAAATGGACAAATATTGTTAATTTGAACATACCTATCAAAGAAAGGGACGCAGGAAGATAGACAACGTCCCTAGTAAAATGCCAAATGACAAAAAAAAAAAAAAAAAAAAAAAGAAAGAAAAGAAAAGAAAAAAGAAAAGAAAAAGAAAAAGAACAGCCTAAATAAAACCGCGCGGAAGAAAAAAGTGATGAAGAAATCGGGCGTAAGAAGTTTACTAAAACCAAGCAAAATAGGAATGAAGGAATCTTAGTAAACAAACAAATCGAATGCTGTTTCACAAGTGAGGGAAATTGACAAGGAAAGCGATTTATGCTTTGCGAGATCCATCGATGGGTATTTGAAAAAAAAATGAAAAATGAAGCAAGCTTGCTCATGGCTGAAGCAGTTGTGTATTTCAAGACATTTCCACTGATCAGTGTTCGATTGCCAGTAAAAAATCAAATATTGATTTATTAGATAAATAAGATATTCCTGTTTGAACGATTGGTAGGAACCAATCAATCGTGGCGGGATTTTAACTAGCTGGCCTCATGCCATACAAAGGTATGCTAAATATATGTGTGTAAAATAGAAGAATTAAATTAAAGAGGTTTTCAAAGGACATATCATCAAAGTCGATTTTCAAAGCTGGCAGTTCATCCGCATTTGAAAAATTGGCGCAGCACGGTCTTCACTATCCTATTTTCCTTCTTTTAGACAATGTTCCCTATTCAGTTACTGTTATGATGTTGATTTGGGGTTAGTAGAGACAAACGGCAAAAAAACACGTAACAATAAAAAGGGTTTTAATAGGTTGGTAAAAAGGTACAGAAATCGCCTGAGTAGTCAATAACTAGCTCAGCTAAGAACTTCTCGGTCTATCTATCTTTCCCATGTCAACTGACATGCCACTATTTAAAGTCTTTGTTCATAGACGCAGACAAGTTCATCTTCAAGAGGGGTGGCAAGGTTTCCGACACAACAGTTACATTAATGAATATCAAAAGAGAAAAAAAAGATTGGAAAAAAAAAAGAGACAGAGAGAGAGAAAGAGATAGAGAGAAAGAGATAGAGAGAGAGAGAGGAAAAAGAGAGAGAGAGAGAGACAAAGGGCGGGTGACAGTAATACTAAGAACAAATAAAAAAGAAAGGGAGAAATCTGCTGTCGGAATTTCGGGAGGTCCAGGTACATTAGAACTAATGACGCTTTGTCCTTGTGGATGTAGGTTCGAATTCTGTTAGTGAGCGCGTATATTTTTGGGCACCTCGAGGCGGTGTAATGATTAGCAAGCTTGTCTCGCTAGAACAATTACGACAGAGTAGGGAGTTTGATGCTCACTGGGTGCCCCATACTTTCGGCCTAGTGCCACCTCTAAGCTAAGCTTAGAAAATCGTTCGAGGCACTTCGACATGGTAAATGGTTAGCAAGCTTGTCACGCTAGATCTATTACGACTGAATAGTGAGTTCGATCATCACTGGGTGCCCCACACTTTTGGCCTTGTGCCACATCTAAGCTACGCTTAGAAAATCTTTCGGTATCCATTGAAAATAACGTTTAAGCAATAACTTAAAATATTTCGAATTAATGAAAAATCTATTCGTAAAAATTGTCAGATATGTATATTTCGAGAATCGGGAAATACATATACATATATATATATATATATATATATATATATATATATATATATATATGATATAATGGAATATCCATACACATGAGTTCCCCTCACTGGAATATGATTGGCTGGTGTCCGTCATAAATACAGACGGACGTAGTAACGACAGAGTTTAAGTCTATGACGACGCCCATTGGACTACGCCTTTGTCTATCCTATTGGTCTGCACCTATTACCTGCGACTACGACGAGTACCAGTCGATTACTGCTACCGTGTACTACTTGGTTACAGTAGCCAAACCCACTTAGCTACTTCGATCAAAATATATCCCTTTCGAACATATCAATATATATATATATATATATATATATATATATATATATATATATATATATATATATATATCATGTGCTTTAGCTCTCGGTCACGAAGAACCTCCTGGTCAAGCAAAGCCCCAAAATTCTTTTGGACAGAGGTCTTTCCGGAGAGCGCATATCGTTCGCATAAAATTACACGAATATTCAGCCCTGTAGATAGAAATAAATGAATATACTGTTTAATATATAAATAAAAACATGTCCTCAGATATGGATATCCATTAAATTAACGTTTAAGCGATTAAAATATTTCGAATTAATGAAAAATCTATTCGCAAAAATTGTCAGATTTGTATATTTCGAGAATCGGGAAAAATCTGTGTTGAAAAGCACTATTTTGGCTTTGTTTGACCAGGAGGCTTTTTTGTGACTGAGAGGTCACAAGTTACGTCAGATCTAAGGATTGTTCCCTCTGGTTTCGAGTTTCATTGTTTCATATACGGTTCTACTGCAAGAAAAAAAACAAAAAACAAAACAAACCGGCAATCAAAAAAGCGTTCGTCAAAATATGATTTAAGGACAGGTTTGATTTAAGTCACATTATCTCAAATACAGAGAATCTCAAAAGTATTTCACGAAACCTCGAGACTTGGTTTTCCATCACACAGTGATAATGCCAGATAAAAATGCAGCTCTATCGTATATGTGCACATGCATTCATAACTTTACACTCAATGTTCATGATTCCAGAATCAAACAATAATTCCAATCTGTAACATTAAGATTAAATGACCAAATTACAATATTACGATGCTAAGTAGCTTATGGGAACATTAATTAGAAATCCGAGAAAATCTTCTACATTTGTCATCATCAGGAGTCCTTTTGGGTTACCATACTCAATGCAAATTCGGGAGAAATGTGTTGATTTGAGAAGCTTTCAACCGCTCCTTATTCATGCATAATTGAAGACCACGTCTAACAGGATGGTTAACCAATCTCTCAATCCCTGATGCAAATTCCTGATCAAGCACATTTGCGTTCGTTCAACACTCACAGAATCCACCAGTCATTTGTAATGCGACTAAGCTGAGAGGGCCTTTCTTTCAGTTTCTGGAAGAGAACGGATCACCTTGCTTGATCACCATATTGAGACTCGAACCCAGAGCTCATGATAGGAAGCGAACGTTCTTACTATTCGGTCACATATACATACCAACCTACACAAACACACACACACACATGCATACAAATATATATTGTTTATACGTCATTTTAATAGATACAGTTTATTTAAGTAAATGCTTTGTTTTTTTAATAAACAGTATTAATTATATATAACGGCCTGAACGTTAGGGAAATTTCGGATAAAATATGCGTTCTTCAACAGGAATCGAACCTGTGTCCTATACGGAACCGTCAATTGATCTGAGGTGCTATAGAACTCAGTTATAGAGAAGCGTTTGCTTAGCAAAGTTCAAATTACTGCTTACGAAATGTACCTTAACGTAAACATCGACAACATATTATGAAATGGATTAAGTCCGACAATTATTTAATATATTTTCTGTTTATACGTTTTTTTTAAAAGACACAATTTATTTAATACTGTTTATTTAAAAAAACAAAAACAGTGCATTTAGTTAAATAAATTGTATCTATTAAAAATAACGTATCAACAGAAATAAATAATTGTCGGACTTAATCCATTTCATAATATATATATATATATATATATATATATATATATATATATATATATATATATATATATATATTATTATTATTTATATGTGGTTTGGTGATAAGTCCCTCACTGATCTATTGCTACTTCCATGGAAAGTGCTCGGACGAACTACATTCCTTGGTTCCACCAGTTCTAATTTTCATGGCTAGGACCCGCCAGTCCACTTACAAATTAGCAAACCAACCATATTACCTCCGAGTTTCATCAGCGAGAAATAAATTCTACTCAAATACCTTTCTCCCGCGTACCACTGCTCCCTAGAACCTACACTCAAGAGGATGTTTCCCCGATCACAACAGTCTTAACGTGTTCAATTCTAGGGTTAACCGTTATCTTCCCTTATCCGCATAAATTTCCTCTTAATGTAACCCTCTACCACGAAGGGCATTGTACTGGGTGAACCTTTGTGTAAAAAAAAAAGGTACCAAAATAAGTGTGGCGTACCCTGTGAGGATAGAACCCAATTCAATAATATTTTTCTACGAAACAAGTTTGTCAACCAAATCTCAAGGCGCTCACACAGATCATGTACAAAATGATTGGAAAAATTCAGTCCAACCATTTATCTGGACATCCGATTACAACAAAACACAGCAAGATAACTCTCCTGAATCTCATACGTTAGAAGTTAGTTTCTTTTTTTTTTAAGTGTCTCACGTCATTTATCGATAATGATGTAACTTAAGGTGTGTCTGACCTAGCGATCAAATTAAACCTCTTTCCTTTTTCTGGCACTTAAAATACGATGAGCAATATTACCAGTTCTGTAGTTACCGTTCCTCTTTCTACTTCGATTCTACTTTTGAAAAATGAGGTTAACTATGCCGAAGTCGGCTAAGGAGCTGACTAAAACGAAGATCTTCGTCTTCTTCTTCTTCTTCTTCTATGATCCATGACCTTTCAAGACATTAACGATCATGGATCACCACAGCTTCCTGGCCTTTCCTTCTCTTAATTAATTTTGTCTTTTAATCTGCCTCTAAGCCCTGTTCTACCATCCATTTACACAAGCCCGTTAGGTAGGTTGTGCATTGTTTTCCTCTATCTCTCTTTCCTTCAGTCACTCTTGTGAGTATCAAGTTTTGCAAGCCTTCTTTCCTCATTATGTGCCGTGGAAATTTCAGCTGTTTGTTTCTGATGTTAAGTATAAGTGGCCTTTTTGTTTCCGTTTTCTCTAAAACTTCATCATTGCCCGCATGTTCAGTCCATGTTATTCTCAACATCCTTCTGTAGAACCCCAATACTGTTGCTTCAAATCTCTTCTTGATCTGAGAGATTTTCCAGCATCGCCTGCCATATAGGAAAACCAGTATTATATACCAGTTTAGTACTTCGTCATTACTCACATGTTCAGTTTACGATATTCTCAGTATCCTTCTGTAGAACAACAACGCTGTTGCCTCAGATCAATTCTTCACGTATGATAAGATTGTCCAGCATTCACTGCCATATCGGAAGACTAATATTATATAACAGTTCAATACTTCGTCGTTGTTCACATATTTAGTCCGTGCTATTCTCATGATCCTTCTGTAGAACCACATCTCTGTTGTTTCAAGTCTCTTCTTCATCTGTGATGAGATTGTCCAGCATTCACCACGAGGACTGATATTACGTAACAGTTTAGTATTCATTTTTTGTTTCTAATGGAATTTTTCTGTTTCTTAATATTTGTTTGGGGAAGGCATTTTTTTGCTGTCCCAGTGAGCTTTCAGATTTTGATGTCATGTTTTCGTGCTCTCTTGAAACACTTTCCCAAACTGTTCTTTTCTCCAAAGATGAGTTGTCTTTAAACGTGTGAGAGAGAGAGAGAGAGAGAGAGAGAGAGAGAGAGAGAAGAGAGAGAGAGTTGTTTACTGGCAGACCTTAAGTGCTTAAGAGAATGACTTGTTTCCTATTGATTTCATTTGCTAGTGTTCATGCCTGGGTAAAAATCCTAATGTTTGAATGGAGCTCATCCTGCTCGTTAGATAAAGTGTACCTTCTGTTCTCCTATAAATATGGCTTTTTATCTAACTTTTTTATCCCCCTTTTCATGTTCGTTTAAGATGAAGCTTTTTCCTGCTTGAATAGTTGTAGCCTTTATTCCGAAATTCGCGAGTTAAACATTGCGAGAATTTTACTAGTATTAATTATATATATGTATATATATTTATATATAGACACTTAACCAGACTAGACGATGTCATCTTCCGCTTTAAATTTAGACACCCCAACCTTACCCTGACTTGAGCTCTTTGAATGTAACTGAGATATTGATACAAATTATTAACCCTTACGCCCCCCTTTTTAAAAAATAATTGCTCTAGCCGTTACCATAGTAATTTTAATTTTAATAATGAATATGCTCATAAAACGCGCAAATTTCAGGAATTAGTTATTCCCAAAATATTTCGCTTGAAGATGGAACAGAGCTTGGTACTTGGAACAAACATGAGAACTCTGATGTAGCGTTGGAATCATATTTTTAAGTAAATAATTATATTTAGGCTCAATTTTTGTATCGAGCACTATTTTTTAAAAATAATAAAAATACTAAAGAACTTTGGATTATTTACCTAACGAGATCTTTCCTGTTTTCTATATATTTTTGCACACACACACACACACACACACACACACACACACACACACACAAATATATAATATATATATATATATATATATATATATATATATATATGAAAATTAGGATGAAGAAATCCCGACAAATTTTTTACATTTTGATAATTGGAAACGTTAAGGAAAATAGATTTGTTTAAAAATAGATTTGGTAATGCATTTTGCTAAAACGTTTGTTAATAAAAAGCCTCAGGGAGATTATCCCGGGGGGGTGAAATGACCATTAAAATTGATTTTCATTTATATGTAATTCATTTATATGCTCTATAATAAATATATATTGAGCTCTCTTTTGTCGATCAGTTTTAAAAAAATTCATATTATTAACATCTACTTGGATTCTTTACCCACGGATTTTTACCTATATATACATATATATATATATATATATATATATATATATGTGTGTGTGTGTGTGTGTGTGTGTGTGTGTGTGCATAATCATATCATTATATTATATATGTATAAGGCAAAACTGACCAAAAGAAACGGCGAATAGCATGCATCACAAGGTTGTATAAATGGATAGCAGAACATGGACTACTTAAGATAGAAAGATGTGGAGAGCCGTAGTCGTCAACATTCTGAGGGGACATGGCACCTAATATAAGGTACGTTCGCACGCAGATGTGGGAATGTATAGAAATACTTCTGTGCGTGCTTTTGTATGTATGTTCTAAATTTGAAACCATTTCTTCCATGCATTTTCGTGTCTGTGATCAGTCGCACGGCGTCTTTTTGTCTGGAGCCAAACATTACTAACATTTTCGCGCCAATTTTTAAAAGCGCGGGTCAGTCAACAAAGGGAGAGAATCTCGTCTCCTGTTTACGCTTCCGGAGCAGACAAATAATCGCAAAGTTAAAAATTCATTCTGCGAGTAGAGACGATCTTTGACTTTTCCGCCTTTATTATTATTATTTTTCCTTTTGTATTCCCTAACAGAGAGAGCCATTCTCATTCGTTTAACTCTTTTTTGGTGAAAGAAAACATTGTTTTGACAACGCCTACTAAATAATTGATTATATTTTAACCACGCCCTGAATAATTACCGGTTCATCGGGTTATGTTCAGTGTTTGCTAAAACTTATGGTCTTTTGAAAAAAAAAACAAGTTCAGAAATTCGTTCTAAATTTCGATATGAGAAAATATTATGATATGCTTTAATATTCAGGCCAGCATGTCAAATTTTGTCCGTGTAAATCACAAACTTTCGGCCTTTGTATGCTCTGGTCTTCTTTAGATCTCCATTTTTGTACTCGATATTATTCTTGAACTCCTATAAATACTCTCATGGCAGTTGTTTGAATGAGCTGTTCACTATGGTATCTATATTTTTGAATTTGAGCGAAATACTAGAATGGCGTCGAGATCTCATCAATTTAAAATTGAGCTGGTTAGATGTAATCATTAATTCTGTGTTAACAGTTTCTTTTCTCGCAATTCTCGCTTGTGGAACTGCCTTCAGTCTCCATGGTTTCCAGCCACCTGCAATCTACAAAAATTTAAATGCAATGTCAATCGCTATCTACAGTCCTTCGGATTTCTCTTTCGTCTTCTCGCTCATTATTAATGTTTCTGTTCCTAATTCTTCCACCCCGTGAAACCTCTTGTGTCTTAGTGGCTTTACTGCCTTGCATGGGGTGATACCGATAAAAAAAAAACTAAAAAAAAAAAACAACCTGACAAACATTGACATCTAATATCAACAACCACCTTGGAAATTCAAAAGGAATTCAATATTTAATCCAAGACACAAAATGTAGTTAATTGAAGCGTTCATTAAAACATATCTGGCTACCTAGAATTTCTGAGTTTAAAGTCCTGAATCTGGTGGTGCCGAAAAGTCATATGCATTTGTTGAGTGGAAGAAACGGACAAAGCCACACAAATATCGCGTGGTGTTAACATATATGAATTATTTTCTAAACATGGCAAATTGAATAAGAACAGTCTGCTCTCCTGAATTGAATTGAGTTCGAAATTCCAAGAAATTTACCGAGAACGAAGACAGACTTCTGAAAGAAGTCGATAGGGTACAGCGGTCGAAATATCGGGCATGAGATACCCAACCTGAAAAAGCTGTTCCGAACTGCACAGCATATAATTACTAATTATTGTTATATGGACATTTAAACAAAGATATTCACCATCAAACATGATATTCCGCTATGTTGACATAGAAGATTACTATGCGACGATAACGGTCGCGGAAAAGCAGACACAGGTCGTAAATTCATGACGTCGTAACACATGAGAGAAGGAAATATTAACAGAACCATATGTCTAGATGCATATAACCATACTGACGATGGCTCATGTGAGCCGAAAGGTTAGATCAAGAAATAGCATAATAAAAAATATCCAAATGTTGGAGAGTTTTTGTTTTTATTTTCTCCCGAAATTAAAGCAACTATACGAAGTTTAGAACGGCTCCTGACCAAACATAATAGACATTATTATTCAAACATATATTTGAGAATATATGTTTGAATTTATATATATATATATATATAAATTAATATATATATATATATATATATTTTTATATATATATATATATATATATATATATATATATATATATTTTATATAAATTTTATATAAATTTATATAAATTTTATATATATATATATATATATATATATATGAAGAATCTAAATGAAATAATAATAAAAAAAACGAAAGAATATTAATCTACAACCCAGTGTGTCTGAAGATTTTAATTTTTTTATTTTTTTTTTTATTGTTCAATATATATATATATATATATATATATATATATATATATATTCCTCATATATGTTTGAATATATATATATATATATATATATATATATATATATATATATATATATATATATATATATATTTAAAGATATTTTTGTAGGTACAAAATTTAATGATCGAAATAAAAGTGTAAAATTTAATATTACAAGACATATTAAAACAATATTAAATAAAAAAAAAAACACTCAACAACAAGGGGGGGAAGCAACCTGTTTCGCTCCTGCTCATCAGGCTTCCACGGGAGATTCAAAATTACAACAGAGAAAGGTACAATCAGAATAGCTGGAAAAAAAAAAAATATAAACACATCGGGTCCTGCAAAGCCTTCTTTTGTGCAAACAACGTGAGTGTTTGCTGGGACAAATGTCATCTGCCTCTAGTTCCTTCTTGCATATATACAGGTATATATATGTACATATATGTATCTTTTTTTTCCACATTCTATTCTGATTGTAATTTTTCTGTTGTAATTTTGAATCTCCTGTTGAAGCCTGATGAGCGGTTGCTTCCCTCCCTTGTTGTTGAGTGTTTTTTTTTTATTATTTAATATTGTTTTAATATGTCTTGTAATATTAAATTTTACACTTTTATTTCGATCATATATATATATATATATATATATATATATATATATATATACACGAGGGGTATGAAACGATTATCTTCTCCTCTAGCATGCCCTCCCTTACAATATTTCGAGATTTTGATGTTTTGGTTAGATTTTGGAAGTCAGGCCGAATACCTTTTAATAACCGATAATGTGTGTGTTTAAGCATATATTTATAGGGACAAACAAGACTGGTGAGGTATAGAGAGCGTGAAGGAGAGAGATAGACAGATTGTGTAACATGAAGAGGGAGACAGACTGAGTTAGAGTGCGGGAGAAAGAAAGGGTAAGATAGAGAAACGCGAGGCACTGGGAGAGAATGGGTGAGAAAAATAGGTTGGAAGCAGAAGGAAAGAGGTTGCGAGAGAGATGGAGAATGAGTGACCAGCACAACGACAGAGTGAGAAATAAATAAAGAAGGAAAGACAGAACAGAAAGAGAACAAAGTAAGAAAGAAAACAAACAAGAAAGAAAAAAAGAAAGAAAGAAAAAAAGAAAGAAAGAAAGAAAGAAAGAAAGAAAGAAAGAAAGAGAGTGAAATGAAGGAAAGAAGAAAGAGAGAGAGAGAAATAAAAAAAAACAAGAAAAATAGGAAGAGAGAAAAAGAAAAGAAGAGAGAAAGAAAACAAGCACGGACGAAAGAAAGAAAGAAAGAAAGAAAGAAAGAAAGAAAGAAAGAAAGAAAGAAAGAAAGAAAGAAAGAAAGAACAGAAAGGAACAAAGTAGGAAAATAAGAAAGAGAACAAAGAAGAAAGAAAGAAAAAAAGAAAGAGAGTGAAATGAAGGAAGGAAGAAAGAGAGAGAGAGAAATAAAAAAAAACAAGAAAAATAGGAAGAGAGAAAAAGAAAAGAAGAGAGAAAGAAAACAAGAACGGACGAAAGAAAGAAAGAAAGAAAGAAAGAAAGAAAGAAAAAAGAAAGAAAGAACAGAAAGGAACAAAGTAAGAAAATAAGAAAGAGAACAAAGAAGAAAGAAAGAAAGAAAGAGAGTGAAATGAAGGAAGGAAGAAAGAGAGAGAGAGAGAGAAATAAAAAAAAACAAGAAAAATAGGAAGAGAGAAAAAGAAAAGAAGAGAGAAAGAAAACAAGCATGGACGAAAGAAAGAAAGAAAGAAAGAAAGAAACTATGAAAAAGACAGAGTGACCACGAGACAGACGGTGAGAGAGACTGGACGAAAAGGAGATTATATGAAGCAGAGGGAGAAGGAGAAAGAGGAGGAGGAGGAGAGAGAAAGAATTTGAAGTGGAAAAAGAATGACTAAGAGGGAGGCGAAGTAAGAAAGACAGAAAGGATAAGAAAGAATAAACAACAGTATTCCATTTGTTTTCTGATTTGAAAAAAAAAAGGTCAACAATTCATTCTTTATTGATGAAAATAAATACATAAACAAACGCATTTAGACAAACGAAACCATGCGATTCGGTCGTTATCTTTCTGATAAACAGATTATCTCTGTTGAATTTAAACAATATTTGCCTTTTTGTTTTTAGAAAAAGAATGTTCACTTTTGAGTGAAAATCCCAAAACGTATTAGTCGTACACATTCTGACTAGTTCACCAAACATTGCAGTTAAACTTTCATATAACGCACACAACCGACCCCATTGAAAATCGGATTTGGCATATATAGATAAAAAGAAAGTGGGCAAATATGCAGTGGTCGACGAAAATCATTATCGATGTGCAATATCTAAGATTGACTTATATTTTTAAGCCCCCTGTTTCGAGTTTGATAAATTAAGCCGTTATCAGGCATATGTGCAGGATCAGTGAAAAAACAGAAACATTATCCTGTTTCTTAATACGTTGCTTAGCTTTTGCAAGGCATCTTTCGCTATCACAAATCTGTTCTATTTTTTAATTTATGTAAGCATTTATCTTCAGGAAATGTAGAAAAATGCTGACAGATTTTTGATCATGTATGAAAATCTGACAAAATAAATCTTGTATATCGCCCTTGCATGTACGCGCCGTGTCTCTGTAGAATGTTGGCGATGATGTCTCTCCATAATTTCCTATTCTTTTTAGTTCTAAGCAATGTTTGTCCACATACTGTTGTAATATCGCTCCTCAAATATGGCAGTGAATGTTGGATATTTTCCCCACACATGAATAAAAAACTAGAAGCAGCAGAAATGTTGTTCTGCAGAAGGCTTCTGAGAAAACCAATGATGGACTATGTGATCAACGACGAAGTTTGTGAGATAGTGAAAACAAAAATGGCACTTATAATTAACATCAGAAAGAGTCGGTTGAGATTTCTAGAGCACATAGTGAGGAATTTGAGACTCACAAGAAAAATCGAAGGCAAGTGTGACAGAAGAAAGCAGGGCATAATATACCTGAGGAGGTTGTGCAAATATATGGAACACCAGGGTTTAGGAGATATAGTAGAAAGAAAAGAAAAACTGTAATCTCACTTTTGTTCCGAGAAATTTATATATATATATATATATATATATATATATATATATATATATATATGTGTGTGTGTGTGTGTGTGTGTGTGTGTGTGTGTGTGTGTGTGTGTGTTCAGGCATTACTGTAAATTTCTGAGATAAAATCAATCTTCCGATACTGGAACAAATGATAAAAATAGTTCCGCAAATTCAATTTCTTGGCACCGAATCTAAGCATCATATTCTGCAACATTAAATTGGGGCCTACCAAAAGGAAGACATTTTTCCCCCCGTTCTAGTTCAATCGGGAGCTAACTTACTAACAGCCTCTTCTATAGAGGAGGCGTACTAGTTTAGGCATCGTAATAATTGGTTTATGAAGAGAAGCAGGATTCTATGGTTCAGTGAGAGTAACACAAGAAGTAAAATAGCAAATTCACTGGAGTTTATTAACGATTAAGAGATAATCACTAAACATAGAGAGTAGATGAAAAACTCATGGCCTGAATAAAGGATGCATTCAACATTCTGTAAAGTCAAATAAATGATTAGGACGAACATGTAAGGTATAACAACGAAGATGAGTATACTATTCCGAATATACGAATATATTAATCAGTCTATTAGAAACACACCAGAATACTATTCGGAATATAATATTCCGAATATACAAATATATTAATCAATCTATTACAAACATTCAAGAATAAAATTCCGAATATAATATTCCTAATTTACGATAATATTAATCAATCTATTACAGACACTCGGAATACTATTCCGAATATACGAATATATTAACCAATTTATTATAAACACCAGAGAATACAATTTCCAATATAAAATCCCGAATATACGAGTATATTATTCTATCTATTACTAAAACTTGAGAATTTTATTCCGAATATATGTGTATACTATTCGGAATAAAATATTCTACATTTTTTTTTCTTTTAAGCATTTCACCCCAAGCAAGGCGGGGAGCCACTAGGACGCAAGGGGTTACAGAAAATTTAGAGCAAGATCAGATAGGAGTGATAGAAGAAAGGATGAGAAGGAGGGTAGTGGATAGATCAAGGCAACTGGAGATGTCGATTTACATTACACTTAAATAGCTGGAGATTATAGCTCTCAGGGAAACTGGAATAGGGAAGGGAGTTCCACAGGCGAGAGGTGCGAGACATGAAGCTATTGGAGTAGAAGAGACGGCTACATTTAGGAGTTTCGACAGTGAAGGGGTGAGAGCGGGATGCCAGCCTCGTAGGTCGCTTGAACTCATGACGTCGTTTGTTTGGAAAATGAGAAGGCCCGAAGTAAAAGAAACAGACAGTTCCGGCCGTGAAATGGGCAGGGAGGAGTTGACACAACCTGCATCATAATGTGGCCTCAGGGTTGCCCACCGGAGGTGACTGCAGGGACACCTTTCCATGTGCGACATGGCACTACAAACACCCCGGTATTATACAACTGTTGATCAGAGCGGCCGCTCAAGACGCTACGCAAGAGTTAGGGCTCCTAACTACCAGTCGGAAACAGCAACCAGAGAACTGTCAACCGTGTACCCTCAGAATGAAGAGGTAGCGCCACAGACTGCACACATCACGGGAGAAACAGAGCTGCACTAATACAGAGGCCAGAGAGAGAAAGAGTACCGGGAACCCCTTCCTAGACAAGAAACAAGGAGTATACAATTTTGAATATACTATTCTGAAAATACGAGATATCCATTGTGAATATATGGATATACTATTTCGAATTTTCTAATGTAGATGAACGAATATACAATTCTGAATATACGAGTAGTCAATTTCGAATATCCTATTCCGAAAACAGTAGCGTAATATCCTAACATAGTAATGGCAATGGAAATATTCGGCATTTAATTATATGGAAACATTTGGCATTCATTGAACAAGCAGCCAATACTACTGTCGATTGAAATTTATAAAAAACTCTTTATTAAAACATCTTTTCAGGAAAATAGGTTTTTCAAGTCCAGCGTTCTTTTAAATATAGATGGGAGTTTCCTTCCTGACTTTTTGTTTGAAGTAATGTGGAAAGTCAACATAATGATTATATCATTATTTTCTTTTCGAGTTACATGTGATATCTATTTTAGTCTTGCTGTTGTTGAAAATCCTCAAGTGATGTGGCTTCTGTTAGCTGATACAGTTCTTTGATTGTGATTCTGTAGCGCCAGTCCACAATATTCCAAGTAAGATAGTCTTTACCGAAATCCACAGATTTCATTCCTTCAGATACATTTTACTATTCCGAATATACTGTCCCGAAAATACTGGGGGGTGAGGGTGGGGGGTTAAGGAGAAGATAGAAAAAAAGATAAAGGAGAGAAAGACGTAGAAGAAAAGAAGATGAAATGAAGGAGAGGTTTAAAAAGGGGAGATAATTACAGAGAAGAGGGGCAAGTTGGCAGATACGAAAAAAAAAAAAAAAAAAAAAAGCGGAAGGAAGAAGAAAAATGTAAGAATATGGCGGAAGCAAAAAAGAATTAACCAAAGGAGAAGACTAAGAATTAAAACGAATAATTGGATTAGAATGAATAGAAGAAAAGACAAGCTGGACAGAAGAGGAAGGAATATGAGAAAGAAGCGAAACGGTGAAAGAAAGAGAAGAGGAAAAAAGAGGAAGCGAATAAGAATGGGTAGGAGAAAAAAAGTGTTTAGAGATGATGAAGGATTGAAAGAAAGTTCATCTTCTGTCACAGGCGATTAATTGGCTAAATTTGATTTGGGTTATGACATGTATACAGCAAAAAGTTCTTCTCCAACTCAAACCATAAATGAGAAAAACCAGAATTTGAATAATTCTCCATACTACACATTACCACACAAGAACCAATTCCTATAGGTTTTAGATAAACCTAAGAAAATACCAACTTCATGAAACCAATGTAAATATAAAATTTATTGATTTACAAAGTTTTAAAGTGAATTCAAGAGTCCATTGCATGACGAAAGGAAGAAAAAAAAGTAAAAGAAAGTAGCGGCCAATGATATAGTGTAACCCGGATATAAGAGACCCGGATATAAGAGAAACCCGGATATAAGAGAGATTTTCTCTGGTCCCAAATTAGAGCCTGTGTTAATGTATATAAAATAGACCAAACCCGGATATAAGAGAAACCCGGATATAAGAGAGATTTTCTCTGGTCCCAAATTAGAGCCTGTGTTAATGTATATAAAATAGACTAAACCCGGATATAAGAGAGATTTTCTCTGGTCCCAAATTAGAGCCTGTGTTAATGTATATAAAATAGACCAAACCCGGATATAAGAGAAACCCGGATATAAGAGAGATTTTCTCTGGTCGCAAATTAGAACCTGTGTTAATGTATATAAAATAGACTAAACCCGGATAAAAGAGAAACCCAGATATAAGAGACTTCTTCGGTCCCGACAACTCTCTTACATCCGGGTTACACTGTAGTATGAATTGATAAGTATAGTTAATTTTTTTTACACATTCAATTATTACAATACAAAAAGGCTTTTGACAAAAGCTTTATTGCTAATCATTTTTCATATAAAATGATCACCAAAAACAGTTTATAATTATAGATGAATTCAGTAGCACAACTTACCCATCGTCATAGCGATGATAAGGAAATGAGAGAAAGAGGAGAGAAAAAAATGGGAAAGGAAACAAATTAGTATAAGTTGAAGAAGAGAAACGTGGAGAGATGATGATAGAGTGAGAGAAAGAGAAAAAGAAGAAGTGAGAGAAAAGGAAGAGCTAAAAGAAGAAAAAAAAGAGGACGTGAATAAGAATGGGGAGAATTAAAAATGGCGAAGAGAAGAAATGAAAGAGTGAGAGAAAGAGAAAAGGAAACAGGGAAAAAGAGGAAAAAAATTAGAATGAATACAAGAAAAAAAGGGTCTAACGATGAAAAAAAGAAAGGAAAAAGAAACGAATTAGAATGAGTTCAAGAAGAGAAAAATCGAGAGAATATAAAGGAGTGAAAGAATAAATAAAAAAAGGTATAAAAAGGGGAAGAGAATGTGAATGAGTAAAAGAAAATGAAGAATAAAGTAAAGAAGGGAGGCAAAGAAGATGTTTGATTTGGTTTGGTTTGTTTTACGGTATATCAACCTCAATGGGTTATTTAATGCCGACAAGATGTTTATTGATGGTAATATATTTTTTTCAAAAAAATATTGGTAATATTTTTTCCAAAAATGCATTGCAGGGATAATTTTTTTTCTTCAAAAATGTTTTGCTTGTAATAATTTATCAAAAAAATTATTGCTGGTATTAAAACATATTTTTATATTTTCATAGTGCTTTGACCCCATTTTAGGAGTTAACTATTTGCCCATATCTGGGACCCTAACTGGTGCTTCCACCCAGAGTCTGGGTGGACCTGGGAACACCAGCAATTAAAGGGTAGTTCCACACTCCTCAAAACCTTCTGATCAGGGGCCTTGCTGTCGGATGTAATTTATCGCCATACCTATAACGCCAAACGAGATGAAAAAGAAGATAAAATATTATTTGTACGATGTGTGATAGTATAAAATTAACTATAAAATTGATATACGGGGTTTCTTCCTAAACTGACATCATTTTGTAGTCTAATACCATAACCAATTCTCGCAGAAATGATCTCAGACTACGGATTTATCTTCTTGATAGATACAATGGCAATGCTGTTGAAATGGCCACCATGTTCACCTGAATTGAAACCTTGTGATTTTTTTCTATGGAGCTATATGAAAAGACAGGTCTATATCCCATCTCTTTCAACAAGAGGAATTTAAACAGAGAATCACTAAGGCGCTGGAGAATGTTACGCAAACCTGCTACAACGTGTTTGGCAGAAGCTGAACTACCGACTTGTCGTGTGTCGTGTCACAGGTGGTGCGTATATTGAACACGTGTGAAGTTTTGTAAATATCCCTTTGAATATCATGTTCGAATTTTGATAAATAAATCTTTTATTGTTCAACAGGAAGCCTATTTAATTTTGTTTTCTTGAGACTCAGATTTTCACATTTTAAATGATGCCAATTTTTTTGCGAACAGCCTATACAATATTATAATATATATTATAATATGATAATATATATCATGAAACATTATAATATCATATTATGATATATAATATTAATATAAGATTTCTCATATAATGAGTTTGTGACTTTTTCTTTATACTATGTGTGATACTAGCAGATGAAGAAGGGTAAATTGGTGCATAAAAGAAATGTGGAAGGACATAGAGATAGAAGAAGAGAAGAAAGCCAAAGGGGAATAGAGAGACGAAATAGAGAGAGAAAGAATAAAAAATATTAATACTAGAAAAAGAAGAAGTAAATGAAGAAGATGAAAGAAAAGAAGGAGTAAATGAAGAAGAAGAAGAAAAAGGAAGAGGAAAGGCGTGTTCGTAGTAGAAAAAGACGTACAAAAGCAGCAAGAAGAAGAAGAAGAAGAAGAAGAAGAAGAAGAATAAGAAGAAAGCAGTAATAGAAAGAGGGGTATGAGGAAGAGCTGTAGTGTTAGAAGAAGAAGAAGAAGAAGAAGAAGAAGAAGAAGAAGAAGAAGAATAAGAAGAAAGGCAGTAATAGAAAGAGGGGTATAAGGAAGAGCTGTAGTGTTAGAAGAAGAAGAAGAAGAAGAAGAAGAAGAAGAAGAAGAAGAAGAAAGGCAGTAATAGAAAGAGGGGTATAAGGAAGAGCTGTAGTGTTAGAAGAAGAAGAAGAAGAAGAAGAAGAAGAAGAAGAAGAAGAAGAAGAAGAAGAAGAAGAAGAAGAAAGGCAGTAATAGAAAGAGGGGTATAAGGAAGAGCTGTAGTGTTAGAAGAAGAAGAAGAAGAAGGAGAAGAAGAAGAAGAAAATAAGCAGTCATAGCAGGAGGGGCATGAGGAAGAGTTGAAGTGCTAGAAGAAGGATAAAAAGAAGAACAAAATAAGCAGTAGCAAAAAGAGAAAGAGTTTTAGTGTTGGAAGAAGAAAAGGAAGAAGAGCATAAACAGTAAGAGAAAGAGGGGCGTGAAGAAGAGTTGTAGTGCAAGAAGAAAAAGAAAAGAAGAAGGGAATAAGCAGTAATAGAAAGAGGCGTAAGAGAAAGAGTAGTACTTGAAAAGTAGAAAAAAAGAAGAAAGAGAGCGAGCTAAGAGGATCATAGGTATGAATGAAATATGGCCATACCATTTGTTTTAGACTTTTTATCGCTGTTGACTAAATAATGCTGTTCGCTGATTGGTGGATTTTGAAAGACCCTACTTCGATAATGGGTGACAACAATTCGTGTTTGTAACGCGGTTGAAATAAGTTGTTTAGGTTGTTTGTGGGTAGAAGAAACGACGACGACAAGAGAAAACTTAGCGATAAACTTTCAAAATAGCTTGCCGGAAAACGACGCGAAAAAGTTGCTAATTCTTCGATCAGAATCAGCACGGTTTCACTTTTAGATCTGGTGAGAAACAGTGAAGAACATGGACGTGCTGTGTCCTTTCTTTTCTTTTCTTTTTGCGTTTTGGCATCACAGGGGCTTTTCTTTTTTTTTTTTTATTTATTTCTAACTTGGGTAGCTTACTAAATTTGGACTCAGAAACTGTCGACAAAATAAACGTCTGATCAGCCAACACCTGTCCGTCGTCAGGATTTACATTTTGCTTGGCTTTGGCTCGCACATTCCCGGGCATGGGTTCCAATTTGGAACTCCAATAAAAAAAAAAAAGCGGTACGGCTTCTTTTCGGTAACAAATAGCCCAATACTCCCATATATATATATATATATATATATATATATATATATATATATATATATATATATAATCCCAAATCAACACGAAACTTGACTTTCACGTGTGTGACTTTAAGTTCCACGCTATGAAAAGATTCTGACAAGAGAGAGAGAGAGAGAGAGAGAGAGAGAGAGGGGGAGGGGGTTATCTCCCCTTGAAAGTATTGCTGTATAGAGAAAGTTATTCAAAATTCAATCAAGTGACCCTTAGTCTAATTCAAAGTAGAAAAGAAGACGTGAGTCCAACTGAGGGATGTTTTAAATTTCGGTAACTTGAGGCTAAGGAGTGATGGGGTTGACCATACATTTTCTTGGGAGCGTTAGTAATTTCTTTTACAAAAATGTATTATTGTTAGGTGCCATGCGCAATACACGCTTAGGCGATCATGTCACTTTCAATACATGAAGGACGAGGAAGATTTTTCACGCAGTAGGTTGCCATTTCTTTCTGCGGTATACCAGTTGCCATCCAAGTCTATAGAACCCGGTTTGTCCTGCTATTTAACCATAGCTGGGGGAGAGGAAGAGGATTCATACCTTTCCAAGGTTATTAGCTGGTGCTATTTTATTTTTGTCTATTTACAAAACTGTATTGCTGGTACGATTTTTTTTGTTTATTTACAAAAACGTATTGCTTGTAATATATTGTTTATTTTAAAAAAATGTATTGCTCTACTATTTTGTCGTTTTTTTTTTTGTTTATTTACAAAAATACATTACTCGTACTATTTTGCTTTACAAGAATGTGTTGCAGGGTTTTTTTTTTTTACAAAAACGTATTTCTGGTAAATTAAAATTTTTTCAAAAATATATTGCTTGTAATATTTTGTGAAAATGTATTGCTGCTATTTTTACTGTAAAAATATATTTTTATATTTTCATTATTTTTTTTTTTTACCCCAGGGGAGTTCATTATTTGTCCATAGCAAGACCCTAACAGGTGCTAACACCCAGAGTGAGGGGTGATCTAGAAACAACAGCAATTAAGAGGTGTTTCTACGCTCACCAAAACATCCAATCACCCGATAACAGGCCTTGCTGCCGGTTGTAGTTTATCGTCATACCCAGCATGTGATGGAAACGGAACTATCGATATTGCTACAATGTTGAATAGAAATTATGCAGTACGAATAAAAAAATAACATTGGTAAGAAAACAAGAAACACTGATTTGAAGAATGTCACAAAAATTCAAGAAAAGTTAATAGTATACAAATAAAAAGTAGATAAAAAGCAAAAAAAAAAAAACATATTTAAGAAAGCCGGTGTCACAAATGAGAGGCAGTGAGAAAAAAAAAACTATCTAGAATATTAAAAAAATGAAAGACAATAAAAATATCACCTTTAAGTCAGCATCATCAAAAAACAAAAAAAAAAACCAAAAACCAAAAAAACAAAACAAACAAAAAAAAAAACGTGTAAGTCTCTCAATAGTAATATTTTAGTGATGAGCAGTGCTAATAGCAGGCACAGAAAGGAAACTACAAAATCTCCTAAAGAAAGTAGCGAAGGAAAGCGAGAAGAAAGGACTAAGCAAAAACTACAAAAAGTTGGTTATCAGCAAAAGGACGAACCCAAAATACAAATTGCAGTTTGGGTATACTATAATGCAACAGTTACAGAAATTTGAATATCTGGAGAGCGTTCTAACAGAGGTCGGCAAGTGCGATACTTTGATCCGAAGTCGTATTGGGATGGCGAAAGATGCATTCCAAAAGCTAAGCAGAGTATTAAGAGACAGGAAAATTTCATTAGAAACAAAGAAAAGAGTACGGAACTGTTACGTGACGTCAGCCCTCCTATATGGCAGTAAATACTGGAAGTCTCTTCAAAGATGAAGAGGAGACTTGAAGAAACAGATATGTGGTTCTACAGAAAGATGCTGAGGATACCATGGATTGAATATGTGAGCAACAACAAGGTTTTGGAGGGAATGGAAATAAAAATGAAAAATTATAGTTAACGTCAGGAGGAAGCAGTTGAAATTTCTGGGACACGTAATGAGGAAGTGAGGCTTGGAAAATCTGATACTCACAAGGCAGATTGAGGGAAAGAGGGACTGAGGAAAGCAGCGTGTAAGATAGATGATGTGCTTCGACAAATGAATGACCGGTCAGAGTTTGGGAGAAATAACAAAAAAGACAAAACTTATTAAGAGCTTCAAGACACAGGAAGATGTGGAGGGCCATGATTACCTCTGCCATGAAGGGACACGCACATGAAAGACATTTTTTGGACCTGATGACTTGTCTTGATGTTTAGCACTCTCAGAATATACGCAAATGAGTCGACTTAGAAACCAACGGGGGGGGGGCGTAATGTTTTGAGTTGATATTGTAGGCAGTAAAATTTAAAGAGGGCACAGGCTTAACAGTAAGAATCTTTCTGCTAAAGTGTATATTAATTCTAGATATTGCTTTTTCAGATACAACTAAGCCTTTCAAAGATACTAAATTAAATTAATGGCTCTCCCCAGCTTCTCCACATTGTATCCAAATATAAATTGTTATATATAAAATATAAAAATGTCTTCAGAATCGATTTCTTTCATCATTATGTGGAATATTGTTATTTATTTTTATCAACTACATTTAATGTTTTGTACAATAGTATCCACCCAATACAAGTCTCGAGAGCCGCTCGAGGTAGATGGTTACAGAGGATATGTGGGGAAGATAACGGTTGAACCGAGACTTGGACAGGTTAAGATTGTAATGGTCACGGAATCCTCCCGTTGTGGGTCGGTTCGGCAAAGTAGCAGTTCGAGGGAAGACGCTGCTCGAGTGGAACTTACATCTCGCCAATGGGATACGAAAGGAATGAGTGGTGTTGTTCACCCCAATGTTCGCGTATTTTAGCTGTGAAGTTTAGAATGAGTGCATCATTTAGAGAGACTAGTCAACGTCATTACTTAATACGCAGCTGGTACGTGTGTTTGGCAAGAAGAAAAGAAGAAAAACAATTTCAGTTTAAGAAGATTTAACTTCGACCAATTCTTGCATAACCAACATTATGCGGAAAAAAACTTTGTGTTATTGCTGTTAGATGCTGAATTGGTGACTGTTGGTAATTTGCATTTAACATCTGATAAGGTCAGACATTTATGTAGATATGCATGGAACTTGCTTTCAGTTTTAATGATCTTGCTACAAAAGTAATCGATGTTTGTTCAAATCCATGGAAAAAAGTGCATTAAATTATTGGGAAACCTCGTGATGGTTTTAGAATAGAATATGTTACAATATGTGATATGAGTGGTTTACATATATATATATATATATATATATATATATAGTTAAACCTAGAGAGCCAGACAAAACTACTTCCCTGATGATCCGCTTATGTGAAACCTTGGTAGGTTTGTCTGGCTCTCTAGGTTTAACTAGGTCTGCTCTACTCATTGTATTGAGCTCTTTATTTAGTTGTTTTGGGTACTCGCATCGGGGTTTTTTCTTTGGGCGTTGGACTTGCAATGCTAGACGATTATTTTCGGCTAATGTACATGATCTTGGTACTTTCTTTTTTTTATACCTTTTTTTCCTTTTGGTATTGGTTTGATTATTTGCAAATGAAGACACCAAAGGGTTTCCAGACGAGAATAATTTCTTATACTTATAAGAGTATTACTACTATTAATATATATTACTACTATTAATATATATATATATATATATATATATATATATATATATATATATATATATATATATATATATATATATATATATATATATATATATATATATATATATATATATATATATATATATATATGCCTCTTTGTGTGTCTGCCAGTCATAGCAATGTTTATTGTTATATAAAATAGGAGCCACATATTAACATCTGTGAGCAATTTTTCTAAAGCAGTGTTTGCTGCTGAACAATAGAGACGAGATCATGACAACATGGAGACATCAAAGAAATATCATTTAGCACATATGAGCTTCAGATTGATTACCTGTCTTAAACAGAAGATTATTATGATTTGGTGGGGTCCATGACATAAATCCCAATGATTCCAGATTGAGATTATTTGGTGTATTTATTATCTTTATCTTTATGTGTATGAATTTCTGGGTATTATAAACCTAATGTCTTCAGCATCCATTTTTTAACAGTGCTCATATTGCAATAATGGATTCAGTTCGACATTCAAACCACCTGAAGAAGGCCGGAGAAAAAGCACACAGAAAAACAGTTAAATAATCGAAATAAAAACCGAAAAAGCACACAGAAAAACAGTTAAATAATCGAAATAAAAACCGAAAAGCACACAGAAAAACAGTTAAATAATCGAAATAAAAACCGAAAAAGCACACAGAAAAACAGTTAAATAATCGAAATAAAAACCGAAAAAGCACACAGAAAAACAGTTAAATAATCGAAATAAAAACCGAAAAAGCACACAGAAAAACAGTTAAATAATCGAAATAAAAACCGAAAAAGCACACAGAAAAACAGTTAAATAATCGAAATAAAAACCGAAAAAGCACACAGAAAAACAGTTAAATAATCGAAATAAAAACCGAAAAAAGCACACAGAAAAACAGTTAAATAATCGAAATAAAAAACCGAAAAAGCACACAGAAAAACAGTTAAATAATCGAAATAAAAACCGAAAAAAGCACACAGAAAAACAGTTAAATAATCGAAATAAAAACCGAAAAAGCACACAGAAAAAAAACAGTTAAATAATCGAAATAAAAACCGAAAAAGCACACAGAAAAACAGTTAAATAATCGAAATAAAAACCGAAAAAAGCACACAGAAAAACAGTTAAATAATCGAAATAAAAACCGAAAAAGCACACAGAAAAACAGTTAAATAATCGAAATAAAAACCGAAAAAGCACACAGAAAAACAGTTAAATAATCGAAATAAAAACCGAAAAGCACACAGAAAAACAGTTAAATAATCGAAATAAAAACCGAAAAAGCACACAGAAAAAACAGTTAAATAATCGAAATAAAAACCGAAAAAAGCACACAGAAAAACAGTTAAATAATCGAAATAAAAACCGAAAAAGCACACAGAAAAACAGTTAAATAATCGAAATAAAAACCGAAAAAGCACACAGAAAAACAGTTAAATAATCGAAATAAAAACCGAAAAAAGCACACAGAAAAACAGTTAAATAATCGAAATAAAAACCGAAAAAAGCACACAGAAAAACAGTTAAATAATCGAAATAAAACCGAAAAAGCACACAGAAAAACAGTTAAATAATCGAAATAAAAACCGAAAAAGCACACAGAAAAACAGTTAAATAATCGAAATAAAAACCGAAAAAAGCACACAGAAAAACAGTTAAATAATCGAAATAAAAACCGAAAAAGCACACAGAAAAACAGTTAAATAATCGAAATAAAAACCGAAAAAAGCACACAGAAAAACAGTTAAATAATCGAAATAAAAACCGAAAAAAGCACACAGAAAAACAGTTAAATAATCGAAATAAAAACCGAAAAAGCACACAGAAAAACAGTTAAATAATCGAAATAAAACCGAAAAAGCACACAGAAAAACAGTTAAATAATCGAAATAAAAACCGAAAAAGCACACAGAAAAACAGTTAAATAATCGAAATAAAAACCGAAAAAGCACACAGAAAAACAGTTAAATAATCGAAATAAAAACCGAAAAAGCACACAGAAAAACAGTTAAATAATCGAAATAAAAACCGAAAAAGCACACAGAAAACAGTTAAATAATCGAAATAAAAACCGAAAAAAGCACACAGAAAAACAGTTAAATAATCGAAATAAAAACCGAAAAGCACACAGAAAAACAGTTAAATAATCGAAATAAAAACCGAAAAAAGCACACAGAAAAACAGTTAAATAATCGAAATAAAAACCGAAAAAGCACACAGAAAAACAGTTAAATAATCGAAATAAAAACCGAAAAAAGCACACAGAAAAACAGTTAAATAATCGAAATAAAAACCGAAAAAAGCACACAGAAAAACAGTTAAATAATCGAAATAAAAACCGAAAAAGCACACAGAAAAACAGTTAAATAATCGAAATAAAAACCGAAAAAGCACACAGAAAAACAGTTAAATAATCGAAATAAAAACCGAAAAAGCACACAGAAAAACAGTTAAATAATCGAAATAAAAACCGAAAAAGCACACAGAAAAACAGTTAAATAATCGAAATAAAAAACCGAAAAAGCACACAGAAAAACAGTTAAATAATCGAAATAAAAACCGAAAAAGCACACAGAAAAACAGTTAAATAATCGAAATAAAAACCGAAAAAGCACACAGAAAAACAGTTAAATAATCCTAAATTTGCCTCGTCCAACACAGCAGAATTATATTCAGAATTCCATTTGAAATCTGAGAGGTGATATAACAATTCCCTATAGCCCTCATTCTGGAAGCAGAAGAGGTGTTTTTGAGGCACGAATATTCTTTTCCTATATATATATATATATATATATATATATATATATATGTTTGTGCTATAAACGTTATTTTAGTCGGTACATGTACTTGAGTAAAGATTCTCATTACCGTTCTTAAGCAGTTAAATTTACATCTACCGGGATAGCATATCGAGACTGTTATTAAAGAAACAAGACAGGCATTGAATCTTCATTCTCTTTATCCGATGAAACCATATTTTAGACAGGCTTGCTTTACCTTTTCGAAAGGGTAAAAGGCAACTTACTTCTCTTCCTCCATCTATTCTCTTTCTATACAATATCACAGTGGCTTAAGTGCTACTGCTCAATTTTGTTCCTAAAATTATCTACCTCTCATCTCGTGACCCGAATGTGTCGATTCGTATAGATTTCGAATTCACAAAGTATTCAATATTCTCTAACTTCTGTTGTATCCATAATCAAATCCTAGACGTTTTTCAACATTCTCAATGTATGACCGTTCGTACCGAGTCTTGTATATTTCTTAGTATTCGTTTGGTATTTCAGTGATGGTTTTCTCTTTTCAATTGCATATTCAACGTCTCCTACTGTGAAGCTTTTCTATCTTCGCTTTAAGGTGTGTGCAAATCTTCGCCTTAAGGTATGTGAAATATTACCAGTGATTTCTATTGTGAACACTAACGATATGAATATATTATAAAAATGAATTTATTTATATTAAAAGAAAAAATAACGAAACACTGAAAAGCTTTGAACACACCTACACCCCTTGTCCAAATTAATTGAAATAACCACTCTAGTTTCCTTTCTTTCACCATACAGTCAGTTTTAGACCCACTGGAATGAGAGGGGGGTAATCGGTTTCTATTTTTTCCCTCTGTCATTTGCAGTGGTGTGCAGTAATATGAATCTATTTTCGGGGTGTATGATGAAATTTGTTTGGCTTTGAAAAATATTTGCATCCGAGTTATATCACGCCTAGACACTACTGTCTCGACTGTCGATTAGTTGTCCTACTGCCATTGTCTGCGATGGACGTTATTCCAAGGAAGCGTACGAAAATTGTAACGCTGCAGGAACACACTGGCAAGGCTTACCAGTGAGCAAATTAAAGTACTATGGATTGGCTCGGAAACTCTCCTGATTTATATCCAATTGAGAATCTGGTCAATATGCCCTGAACGACTTCGTCGAATGGACATGCGAAGTACTAATATGTGCACTGGATCATGTTTCATTGGAAAAAATACGAAATAAAGTAAGTAATAACGGAATTAGTCGTTTTGTTTCAATTAATTTGCACAAGTGTTTAATTGCTTATTCATTTACATTTTGTTCTATGCTTCACTTTATAATGATTCAACCGAGTTGACAAAACTGATAACGTTAATTAATACCCTTCCCCCTCCTTTCATTCTCTATACAAGCTCTCAAAGTCCCTCGACGGTTTCGAACGCATTGCAATTGATTTCCTCATCTAAATGTTTCTTTTCTTTAATACAAGAATTTTGTTTTTTTTACGGATTATCAACCTTTTGTAGTTTATTTTAAAAAAAGCCAGAACATATTTTTAGATGGTTTGAAACTTTTGGAGGTAAGAATGTTTTTTTTTTTTGGTTTATATTACGGCATATCAACCACAATGTGGTATTTTATGCCGACAAAATTTCCTTTTTTTTCCAAAAATGTATAGCTGGTAATTTTTTCAGAAATTTATAGCTGGTATATATATATATATATATATATATATATATATATATATATATATATTTTTAAAAATGTATAGTTTGGTTTCTTTTGTAACATATTAACATCAACGGGTCATTTAATGCTGGCAAGATTTTTTATTTCTGGTAATATTTTCTTTTTTCAAATATTTATTGCTGATACTAATTTCTTAAAAAAGTATTTCTGGTGTTAAAATCTATTTTTGCACTTTCATAGTGTTTTGAGTCAACTATTTGCCCATAGCTGGGACACTAACAGGTGCTACCACCCCGGATCAGGGTGGACCTGGGAACACCAGCAATTAAGAGGTGGTTCCACGCTCATCAAAACCTCCTGATCAGAGGCCTTGCTGCTCGACGTAGTTTATCGTCTTACCCAGGACGCGGATGTATTTTATCGTCATACCCAGAACGGGGAGGTAAGAATGATTTATTGATACAAGCCTTACTAATTAACTTGTAGTGGGGGAGAGGATCATTCTCGTGTGAGGGAATAGAAAGAACCCGGCTGAGATTAGAACTCGGATTTCCGATTTCCAATTCCGAGCCGTTACCCATTACACTAGCCACACGTCCAAGCTTACAATACTTGATATTCCCAAGCGGACACCCATCTAGGTACTGACCATGCTCGACGTTGCTTAACTTCGGTGATCGTACAAGAACCGGTGTATGGACGTGATATGGACGTAAGCCTCAATTTAAGAAGGACAATTGATTACAATGGATTCCTTTATGTGGATCTCCTGTCCAAAATACTCCTTGTAATTCTAAGCTCATTTTTTCTCCTCATTTTGTCCTTCCTAGAATTCTATCCAATTTATGCTGATCCCAGTATTATGCACACTTAGATATGGTCTTTGTTGCTCAAAGCTGCAATGACAATATTGTTGATTAGTGTAAATATTATTCTTTTGGGCTTACTCGACCAAAAGAATAATAGTTATATTGAGAATTCCTTTGACGGAGCATGTGAGCAATGAGGAAGTCTTAAAGAAAATGGCAACAGAAAGAACAGAATCAGGATAAGACAGATGAATTACCCAGGAAGGAAGGCTTAGAAAACTTAACACTCACGGGGCTTATTGTGGGCAAGAACGATAGCAAAAAGCAGCGAGCCGCTTTACCTAACGAGCTTGTGTGAATTGATGACAGGTCGAGGGGTGCTAGCCTAACAGAAGGAGAAAAACTGCTAAGATCCATAAAGATAGGAAGTTGTGGAGAGCCGTCATCGACTGTATCCTGAATAGAGACAACACATAGAAGAAGAAGACCAATTACAAAATGACAATCATTATCACAGTCAATTAGTTACTTCTAAACTACCAATGAAAAATGCCAGTATTCCAATACTGTCGGCAATGTACGATCATTTAATAGGTATTTATTTTATTAGATCTAGTCTAGGCGAAAATAAAACGAAACCCTTTTTGGACGCCTCAAGGATGTTTATACAAAATAAACAAAGACAAAAAAACAAAACAAAATAAGAAGAGATTTATATAGTATAGTCACGAAATCAATCAAGAAAAGCGAACCAAAATTATTCTTCCTTCCTTTTAAGAAATAAATATATTCATACAAAAACATTTCTGTGTTTGCTTCTATTAGATAAGCGGGTAAGAAATCTTTTTGGATTGTAAAGATATATTTTTGTTCCAGAACATGGCTCCTGGCAAAGTTTTGTCCTCAACGTTAATTAGGTAAGTACTGATGTCGGATATTTTGTCCAACGTTGATTTGAATCGCTAAAGGGTGGAATAGAAGAAAATGTTTATTTATTTACTGATGGCTATTTTCAATACAAATCCAATATATTTTCTTTTATTGTCATCATCACCGACTGTTTTTGCTGTCAACGTCGTCGATATTAACAAGCAACTAACCTATCTTCCAAACGTACGTAAATAGATATCAGACCAGAGACGAGGAAGGAGAGTAAGGCTACAATCCGAGGAAGATTTGGAGATCCTTCAGAAATGACACGCAAAAGAAGATACAAGTATGCCCGAGTAAGATCCCAGTGTGTATTGAACTGGCAACTTTGTAAATAGTGTTCCATGACCTGACGAACAGTTATTTACAAAGCTTAGCCTAAATTTGTTTCAAATTCAAAGTTAACGGTTACCTTTGAGCCTATTTCAAAATTCAAAATTACTTGTTACATTGGAATTTATTTCAAAATTCAAAATTGCCAACCTTTGGTTCTATTTCAAAACTGCCGGTTACTTTTGAGTCTATTTCAAAATTGCTTGGTACTTTTGAGTCTATTTGAAAATTAATAATTGCCAGTCACCTTCGCGCCTATTTCAAAATTGCCATTTACATTTGAGTCTATTTCAAAATTGCTAGTTACTTTTGAGTCTATTTCAAAAATGCCAATTACCTTGAGTCCATTTCAAAATTCAAAATTACCCGCTACGTTTGAGTCTATTTCTGTATCTTGCTAATTCTCTCTCCCTATAGCAGTTTGCATTTTTTCAGTTTCTGTATACAGAGCTGTTGTACTTGCCATCCTTTTGTATGGCTCAGAGTCGTGGACTCCATACAGGTACCATATACGCCAGCTAGATGTTTTCCATAAAAGCTGTCTGCGTGCCATCTGTTGAGTTAACCTTCAAGATAGGACATCTAACGTAGAACTGTTTAACAGGTGTGATATTGGAGGAAGCGAGACTTTTATCATACAGTCTCATTTACGGTGGACTGGTCATGTCTTGAGAATGTCTGATGGCAGGATACACAAGATCCTAATGTACAGCCAGTTAGATCAGGGCTACAGGAATGTAGGACACCCATGGCTAAGATACAAAGACAAGCTTGTCAGCAGTCGATATGCCACATAACATCCTTGAGCGCTTAGCTTTGGAGCGGGTAGAATGGAGATCAACGTGTTTTAGTGGACTCACCAATTTTCGATCTGCTTGTCTGAGTCGTCTTCAAGAAGCGAGAGCAAGATCTAAAAGGTCAGCCAATCTAACAGTGATCTCATCTCACAATGCTCACACTTGCTCCATATGTGGCCTCCTTTGTAAATCACTTGCGGGACTTAAATGCCACTTAAGATTATCGCACAATCTTTCATAACTGAATCAATAAGCTGTCAGATCCTCATACGTCGAAACCGACGGGAGAGTGCATTATATATATATATATATATATATATATATATATATATATATATATATATATATATATCATTATTAGTAAAGTAAGATGGGTTGCTAAAATTGAGAAATTGCAATACGAAACAACCTGTTCCAATTCAGAAACGCATAATTCCAGTAATGTTGGCGTTACTGAATAGCCAGTGTTTTGATTTTTTTTAGTATTCGATATGTCAAGGAGTTGACTTCTTGATAATATCACCCTCAGGGAACGACCCCAGCGTGTGGTACCGTTGCGAGGTGCGTGAAAACGAAACTATAGGATGATCCAAGAGTTATGAATGAAACTGGGTAGATGTTATGATGTTGATTTGGGGTTAGTAGAGACAAACGCCAAATAACACGTAACAATAAAAAGCGTTTTAATAGGTTGGTAAAAAAAGGTACAGAAATCGCCTGAGTAGTCAATAACTAGCTCAGCTAAGAACTTCTCGGTCTATCTATCTTCCATTATTTAAAGTCTTGGTTCACAGACGCAGACAAGTTCATCTTCAAGAGGGGTGGTAGGTTTCCGACACAACAGTAGACGAAACTTTTCGGAAACTGCCGATGGCGGTGAGAACACAAGAGAATTAATCGTAACCGAAGGTTTGAGTCAACTGGCCTGGTTCAACCACAGATCACGCTTGATAACTCGTTCTCTCCGAGAAAGTGCAACTAAGGTCCGCCCTGCATAAGCATTGTTCTGTGGATGTTGAAGAAGCATAACACCATAGTAGACGGGCGTATTCACGAACGAACAGCCAGACATTGGTGACTATTTTATAGCATTTGAGGATTTTATATGTAAATAATTAATCAATTGAATTTAAATTTAAATAGAATATTCTGCATGTTGGCTTGACGAAAACAATCAACCGATAAATGGTGTTTCAGACAAGTGCCAGAAGTGTCATTGTTTAAGTTCTATGTCCATATTAAAAGTAAAATAAATAAATAAATGAAAACTCTTGCTACACAATGTTTCTACCTTATATCTCATTATAATTATCCTTGTACCACCCTTAGTTACTTAGTTACGCTGTACTCTGCCAATACTTAATTAATAATAGAATATTCCGTTTTGATCGCGTGGAGAGACGGAAAACATATAGACGCCACTTGGTTTCAGTGAGAAAGTGAAAGATAGATGATTTTAACGTCTACTCTCAGTACATCATAAATAATGGACTACCTCGTTTTGATCGCGTGGAAAGACGGAAAAGAAATACCAGAGATGCTACTTGGTTTAGATAGATAGATGTATTTAACGTCTCCTCTCAGTACCTCATAAATACCGTTCTGGGTATGTCGATAAATTACATCCGCGTCCTGGGTAAGACGATAAACTACGTCTAACAGGAAGTCCTCTGATCAAGAGGTTTTGAGGAGCGTGGAACCACATCTTAATTACTGATGTTCCCAAGTCTACCCTGACGAGGGGTGGTAGCACTTGTTACGGTCTTAGCTATGGACAAATAGTTAACCCCAAGCTCGGGTCAAAACAATACGAAAGTGTAAAAATAGGTTTTAATACCAGAAATAGTTTTTTTAAAAAATTATTACCAACAATATATTGTTAAAAAACACATATTAACAGTGAATGAAAAATATTACCAGAATTAGATTTTTTTTGAAAAAAATATTACCAACAATCAAAATTTTGTCGGCATTAAATAACCCATTGAGGTTGATATGCCGTAAAACAAAACAAAGGAAACCAAAAACCTCATAAATAATAGACTACTTTTTTTTGATCGCATGGAAAGACGGAAGTAAAATATAAGAGACGTTACTTGAGTGAGAAAGTGAAAATAGATAGATAGATAGATAGATAGATAGATAGATAGAGATAGAGAGAGAGAGAGAGAGAGAGAGAGAGAGATAGAGAGATAAAAACACTGATTATGAGATAGATATATAGCTATATAGCTAGATAGATGTGTCTAACGTCTCCTTTCGCTACTTCATAAATAATGGACTATTCCGTTTTGCTCGCGTGGAAAGGCAGGAAAGAAATATCAGGGACGCTACTTGGTTTCAGAAGAAAAAGAAAGAAAGAAAGAAAGGGAGATAGAAGTGTTTAACGTCTGTTTCAGTGAAATGGGAAAAGTTTCAAATTTCAAATCTCTGCATTTGTATCCTCTTCAATCTTTAAATTTATCCATCGCTCTATATATATATATATATATATATATATATATATATATATATATATATATATATATGTGTGTGTGTGTTTATATATAGGTATGTATGTATGTATACATATATGAAGATGTATATACACATATATATATACACAATATATACACACACACACAAACAGACACACACATATATATATATATATATGTCAAGGAAGAGATTGAGTATTATAAGGAGAATGAGACTAGAATAAAAAGCTGAGAGAGAGAGAGAGAGAGAGAGAGAGAGAGAGAGAGAGATGAGTAAATGACCATTTTCACCTACGAATCTTAATGAGTACACTACAAAATGATACCATAAACAGTTTGGAAATTTTAAAATCAAAACTCGTAGGAGAAAATGGTCATTTACTAAAGGTATCTTATTTCCAATTGTATATATATATATATATATATATATATATATATAATTCTGTGACTTCCATCAGTCCGTCCGTTTTTCCCTGCATCACACCCTCTAAAATCGTCATACATTAACCAATCTAAACTATATTTTGAGGAGAAGTTGACTTTACTCGGGTGCATAGCTAAGTACAATAAATTTTCATTCATTTTTTTTTTTGAAAAAATAAATGTTTTATTATTTAACATACAAATTACTCCCACTATTTTAAAAACAATTTAATATTTTGGTTTGAGAAATTGAACGAACCGTAGAGTTTGTAAAACTCGACCAAAAATGTTAGCGATAACTTCAGCAATATTAAATACTGCGATGATTTCAACATGTGTCACCATGTTGCCAAAAAAAAAAAAATCAAGTCTCGTTAAATTTCTGTGCCTACCTGACGTTTATGTCCCCAATTGGAAGCTCACATCTTCGGCTGTCACTTTGCTGACAGCAGTCCATTCTGTCGTATTTCCGTTAATAATCATTTCTTTTTACTTTCCTTTAGTATCATGTCTAGGCCTGATTCCAGATTAATTTCTGATTCTGCTGTCAACAAAGTGTAATCTGTATATCTTATTTTGTTAGATTATGTTTCGCCACAATATATCCAGGTACGTCTTTTAGTTTTCTCTGAATATATATATATATATATATATATATATATATATATATATATATATATATATATATATACTAGCAGCATGGCCCGGCGTTGCCCGTGCTTGATTAAAAAATCGTACGACTCATACAGCAATCGCTATCACTTGACTTAAAATATTTTTGCCCTTTCTTGCCTTTAAAGGAGTGCCCCTTTTCCATGCTGATGTTGCTACATGCTTTACTTCTTGCCTATCTCACACTGCGAATTATTTCTAAGCTCTATACTAAACATTAAATCTGTTACAAAAAAAAGAACTAAACAAAATGAACACAAAACGATCAGCTTTAAAAAAGGACTCGTAACTGGAAAGACCGAATGAAAAAAAGAATGTTAACAACAAATACTTTTTACACACAACCCAGTTCTGCGGAATCAGAATCAACGTTGAGTTTAAGCAAGCGAATGAGCCAATTGGAGTAAAGTGCCATGCAGATTTAAATTTTTCCCACTTGTGACAAATGCAGCTATCGATTTTTTTGCATGCTAGCATGCTAGTTAATATTCGTCTCAGTCAGCTGTTGGCTCTCACGCTCGTCAATAGAATCTTCCTGCCTATTCGTGGCAGCCGGCTATAGGCTCTCACTCTGGCGAGTAGAAAATGGCTGCAAACTATATGAAAACTGCCGTAGAAGCATGAAAACATCGATTATTTCCACTATCGATGGGAGTTGGGAAATGCAAAGTCGGTCTTCGCCTTCCCGCTAACTTGGAGCATGTGCATGTAAATTTTGGTGCAAATCCGTCGAAAATTGCGGCCGTTCATTCGTTACACACACATACACACATCCTGCCTTTATATATATATATATATATATATATATATATATATATTGCGTTGCAGCTCAGACCAGACATCAGGTTCGTTGATAAGGTGCAGGTCTTTCCAATCAAAAATTACCCTTTGGGCAGATCGTTAACAACGAGTGAAAAAACAGAACAATTTCTAACAGTAAACCAGATTTTATCATTGGGTTGTAAGCTACTACTTATAAGTTGAGATGAGACGTTGGCGAGATAGGGAGGTGAACAGTCTTACGGGTGTCTTCCTTGTCCGTCGTTCTCCGAGACCCAATTAGTATCTTCGCGTATCTTTTCGGGGTACTGGTCAGTTTTGTCGTGTCTTCCCTCTAATGTAGTTATTGTGGACTCTTTCACTTACTATAAAGTCGTAAGAAAGTAAGCCTCGGGGAACAGTGATATAGACCGAACGCTGGTCAACCGACACACACTCCCAAGACGTGTAACACACTTCTTTTGTATTTACTGTTCAATACATGATTTATTTGCAACCTCTTGTTTTGTTATTTCTTAACCATTTACTTGGTCACAACAGTTTTATAGCTAGCATGGTTATTTGTCCAGTCGTCTTTGTCTAAAAAAGCAATTCATCTTCATTCAGCGACTTCTCTTTGTCTGGGCCGCTCGTTGGAGCCCGCTTCGCGATAATGATAACGATCGGTCGAAAATAAATGGTCTGAATCCATTTTTGTGACACGTCCAGCTGTTTTCAATTTAACAAGACCTCAGCTGAGTGATATTGCTACATATAGTTTAGAGATATCCGACAAGAATACGCATCCTCGTCTAAGTCCTATTTCACCCTCAAAACGACCACCGCTTACCTATAGCCACAATTATAAAGACGACCATCGTTTACCTATAGCCACAAGTATAATGACGACCACCGTTTAACTATAGAACCAAGTATAAAGACGAACATCGTATACCTATAGACCCAAGTATAAAGACGAACATCGTTTACCTATAGCCACAAGTATAAAGTCGACCATATTTTACCTATAGCCACAAGTATGAAGACGACCATCGTTTACCTATAGACTCAAGTATAAAGACGACCCTCGTTTACCTATAGCCACAAGTATAAAGGCGACCATCGTTCACCTATAGACCCACGTATAAAGACGAACACCGTTTACCTATAGACTCAAGTACAAAGGCGATCATCGTTTACCTATAGCCACAAGTATAAAGACGACCACCGCTTACCTATAGAACCAAGTATAAAGACGAACATCGTTTACCTATAGACTCAAGTATAAAGACGACCACCACTTACCTATAGCCACAAGTATAAAGACGACCACCGTTTACCTATAGACCCAAGTATAAAGACGAACATCGTTTACCTCTACCCACAAGTATAAAGACGGCCATCGTTTACCTATAGATTCAAGTATGAAGAGGACTATGGACATCGAACGTTATCCTAATTTGAATCATTGGCTTTATTCCGGTTAATCTGACCGATTTTTCTTGTTCAAGAGAATATGCCGACTGTGCACCATGCATGGAGGTGAGACTCCCTGCGAAAAGCAGTCATTTGCCGGTGGATGCGTACGGGCTCCGATATGGACAACCAATATTTGCCTGTACGCTCATGTATAAAAAACACGGCCAATGTTTCTCTGCAGGCGCAAGTATAAACGTGAACAATATTTACCTATAGACCCATGTATAAAAAAAAGATCGACGTTTACCCATAGACTCAAGTATGACAACGATCAATGTTTATCTATAGACTCAGGTATAAAAACGATCAAAGTTTACTTATAAACATAAGTATAAAAACGACCAAGGTTTATCTATAGACTCAAGTATAAGAACGACTAAAGTTTATGTATAGATTCAAGTATAAAAATTACAAACTTCACCTATAGACTCAAGTATAAAAACGACCATCGTTTACCTATGAACTCAAATATAAAAGCAACAATCCTTTACCTATAGGCTCAAGTATAAACACAACCAATATTTGCCTACAGACCTCGAATATAAACATGGGCAATGTTTACCTATAGATTCAAGTATAAACACGGCCAATGTTTATCTATAGGATCAGGTATAAACACGGCCAATATTTGCCTATAGTCTCAAGTATAAGCATTGCCAATGTTTATCAATTGGCTCAAGTATAAACACGGCCTGTATTTACCTATAGGCTCAAGTATAAACATGGTCAATATTTATCTATAGACTTAAGTATAAACGCTACTAATGTTTATCTACAGACTTCGGTATACTAACAGAAAAAATCGGCATTAAATAAACAAACAAGACAGGATATATCGTAAAATTCACCAGCCCGAAGTAATTCCTAATTTGTTTCACAGTCGATATAATTTTATCCAGTTCTTAAAGAAAACTAACGGAACAGAATTTTTGAAAATATTTAGCAGAACAAAAAAAAAAAATGTTACTTCTAACTTTGCATTTCTCATATTTTTCTCGTTCTGCTACTTTAGGATTTAAGCAATCATGGTTCCTCATAGCTTCTTTTTGCTTTCAGCTATACTTGTCCCTTTGCAACTATTTTTGTCTTTGTTAGCTATTCAGTTAAGTACCCTACGTGATATACGCTTGGGCGATCATGTCTCTTTCGGTTCATGACTGACTAGGCCTAAGATTTTACCGCAGAAGGCCGCCGTTCCTTTCTACGATGTGTTTAGAGTACTTATTCTAATCGATACATTTTATCAAGTAGCTTATCCGTTTGCGTCTGCTTTTTAATTCGCTCCGTGTTAAAATCGCCAGCCATTCTTCCGCAAATGTCCAAAATATTTAGCTGTTTCTTGACAATTTTTCAAAACAAATTCTAAGCAGTTCTATTTTCCTCCCAAGAAATTACACATTTGTCAAATGCCCTGTTTAAATTCTCAGAATTACCCAAGTAAAATCACATTCCTGTCGTTTCGTGTTTTTTCTTAGTTCTTGACGAAAGTGTCCAGATTTTACGGCTCTGTAAGACATAATGCATTCATTTACATGTAAAATCTCCCAAAATGACATGTAAAATCTTCTATACGACATACCTGTCTAAGTTTTCAGTTTTTTCCTCTTGTAGGTTTTCCACATATCTATCGCTTCTATTACTCTAGTTTGGTAAACGTATATTTCTTTATAAATATGAATTATTAAAAGCCCCCACATTCACCCGAAATACATTTAAAAAGTCGACATTTCAAATACAGTTACACGATACCTTTTGTGCAAAAATATTAATAGGTTCCTTCCTAAAATGTTTCCAGAACACGGAGATTTTTTTCTCTCACATAAATATGTTTGCGTCAAGAAAAGCTCTTCATGGAAACGATACATTTTTTGGCATTACATGAACTGGCAAAGAGGAAAGGTGAAAGAAACAACAAAAACTTTACATAATATCCTTAAAGAACCATGTCGCCG